TCAAGTATGTGCTTGCCAGCTTGGCTATTTTCTACATTTCATTATTCCCTATACCGGCGAAAGTGAAGGGCGAAATTGAGAAGATACAAATAAGCTTTTTATGGGTAGGTGTCGATAAGCAAAGGAAAATAAACTGTGTGAAGTGGGAAAATGTATGCAAACATAAAGAGTATTGGGGCATTGGGATAATTGATTTAGAGGTAAAAAATTTGGCACTTTTAAATAAATGGTTTTGACATTATGGAAAGGAAAAGGAAAACTTATGGTGAGAGGTCCTTGTGGAAAAAATTGGATGTTATCCTACTATGCCCTTTGTCAATCTTGAGTGAATATAGAAAAGAGTTAACTTTGCGGAGAAAAATCATAAGCCCTCTTTCCTCTAGTAAAAAGTATTTTTTGCTAGTTCAAGCAGACATCGGGTTTACTGTTAGTGATGGAAAAAGCTTGTTGTTTTGGCAAGATGAATGGATTGATTGGTTGCGTTGGCTCAGTCTTTCCTAAGCATTTTCATTCTAGTCATTATCAAGAAAGGTAAAATTGTCGAATATGAAAACTAAATCAAGGGAAGATGGAGTTGGAATATGCAGCTAAGGAGGCAACTTTTTGATTAGGAAGTTAAACAGTGGGAACTTTTCAAGGGATAGCTTATGGATTTCCAACTCAGCAAAGAACTAAGGGATGAAATGATCTGCAAAAATGAAGCTAGTAGGCAATACATGGTAAAATCTTTCTGTAAGTATGTGTTTACTATTAATGTAAATGTCAATAGTACATAGAGGAATGTATGCACGGAATTAGCATTGTGTAAGGTTGAGACTTTTGTGTGGCATTTGTTGCAAGGTAAGATTGGGGTTAATAAGGAATTAGAAAAAAAGGGATTGTAACTTAATAACATCTTATCACTTGTTTTTAACTTGTTATGAGTCATGGAAAGTGTGGTCGGGTTGGTGTGAAAGCTGAGGGGTACAATGGGTCACACCTAGTAACTAAAGACTTTTTTATGGCATGGAACGAAGTTTACTTAATGGGACTAGATAATAGAATATAGAGAATGGCTCCCTTCTCCATTTTTTAGTCTATATGGAAATGTAGACATGAGGCTATGTTCAGAGCTAAGGAATGGAAAGTTGAACAGTGCCTTAAAATGATAAAAATTAAAAAGGCAACATGGGCTAATGCAAAATAGCCTAAGGAGTTCCTATTGGTGCTTGATATCTATAGACAACCTTTTTTTAAGGTACAACATAAAAAAGAGAAACGAGGGAGGAAAAGGATTCACCGAGAGAAACCTAGGATGGGTACATGAAGTTCAACGTTGGCAGTGCTGCTAAAAGCTACTAAGACCAACTAGAATTGGGGCCATCCTAAGGGACTCAAGCATTGAGGTTGAAATCACCTTCTCTATACCACCAAGGGAGGCCAATTCCAACCTAGCAAAGAGATGGGCAATGAAGGAAGCTTTGCTTATCTTTTTGACATCTTCATGGAAAGAGGAGTATTATCTTGTTATTGAAAGTGATTTAGCCAATGTTGTGAAATGGACAAAGAATCCCTACATTTCACCCTAGATGATGTGTAAATGGATTTTGCAAATTGAACGCTTTAAAAAAGATTTGGTTGGTTAGGAGATTAAGCATATCATAAGGGAAGCGAATCAAAAAGTTGATGCGTTGGCTAAGGAAGGTGTGGACTTGCAGTATGATATTATAAGAATCTTCCAATAAGTGTTGAATTTTTTTGTTCATGGATGAGGTAATTGCTTATGGTTGGGTTCTATGTTGTAAAAGTTCTTATGTCCTCTAACCTATTGGTGAAGTTTTTAATGTTTTGCTTGTGTTTCAGCTTGGTTGATGGGGAAACTGTTGACTATTGTTTCTGTGTAGTTTTGCTTGGGATCATTAATTTGGTTCTTGAGGTTATGTTTCTACAAGGGTGTAGGGGTTTTGCCATTGTTTTTGTTTGGCTTCTTTTGTTTTTCGGTATAGGGGGTCAGGTACCCACTTTGAATGTTTTTTGAAGTGCAGGGGATGGCTTTTATGTTTTTGCTCGATTGAATCCTGCTTTGTCTGTGGGAAGGATGTTTTGCTCTTGTGCTTGGATGTTTAAACGATATTGGAGGGTTTATTGTGATATGAGGGTATATCAACCAATATCTTTTGTTTTTTGAGCTTATTGCCTTGCTGGTGTAACCGTATAGGGAAATTTTCATTCTAATGATTTATGAAATCTTACATTTTGCTTTTGAAAAAAATTAAAAAGAAAATAGAAGATATGAGAAAGCTTCTCTCTCTAGAATTACAGAGGAGTTGTGAAAAGTAGAGTAGGATAATACCATTGGTAGAAGCTTCCTTGATGGGACAAAAGAATGATGTGACTTGAGACAAATTATTAAAAGATTAGATCGAACTTCAAATCGGTGGTGCCACTAGTAAAAAGTTAATGGAAAAAAAAAAGCTAAAAAAAACAAAAACCTTTAACAAAAAAAAATCGGTTTCAAAACTTATCAAATCAATTAAATCACAAAGTTGACTGATTGAACTTTCTAAACTCAAGCATCATTTTTGCTTAATTAATTGCCTTATTGATCTTTACTACAAGAATTCTTTATTCTCCCAAGAAACCATTTGTTTTGATCTCCATGTTTTTTGATTATTTTTTTCAACTTAATTACGTTTTCCATGTTTGAAAAATATAGAAAAATCAAACAGATGCATCAAATAGGCTGTGGTTTGTAAAAAATGTAATGCCATTCAGTGGCGGAGTCAGGATTTTACGTTTATGAGAGAAAAAAATTGAAAATAATATTTATAAATTAAACAATCATACTAGAAATTTAATGTTTGATAATAAAATAAAACAATTTAGATAAAAAAGTTTGTATGAAAATTATACAAACAAATCTTGAAAATTATTCAAAGGAATCCATCTTAATAATGTACTTAAAAGAATTAATTAATATAATCATAAATAATTTAATAATGACAATAATCTTAATTTCTAGATAAACTTAATTACAAATAACAATTAACAAATATAATAAAAAAATCTTAATGAGAAGCAATCTTTAAAAAATATTAAGGACTATCAATAAATAATTCAATGGAGAATTAATTCTCTAAAATTAATCACAAAAATTAAATACAATATTAATAAACAATTCAATGAGAAAGCAATCTCCGAATAAAAAACTTAAACGTCAACAAGAATCTAAGTAAAGCAAAAAGCATAACTAATTTGTTGGAAAACAATCAACCAATCTCTAAATAAATAAATAATAATTAACCTTAGGTGCTTAATCAAATTGCTTTCAACAATAAATAACTAAAACGGTAAATTTTAAATCAAAATCATCAAGTAAAAATTATAAAATAAAGAAAAATTTAAAGTTGAAAATGTTAAAAATAAACCAATCTAATCAATTATCATTGCTTGAAAATTGACTTATTGACTGAAAGTTTTTTGCATAGAAAATGCTTACAAGAAAAAAAGTGTAAAAAAATAATTTTTTTTGTTTCTACAGTATTTAGTAAAAAGAAAAGAAAGCAAGTGGTGGTTGTAAGGTTTTGGAGAAGTGAAATTTGAAAATAATTCTATTGCAATTGGTTTTATTTTTATTTTTTTGGAAAATGTAATTGGTTTTGTTTTAGTCATGCTAAATTAGTTATTAACTAATTGTTGTGGGATATTTTACTAAACAAAAAATTATTGTAGGAGTAAAATTATAAAATTTTTAAAAAATAAAAATATGTTAGAAGAATTTTAAAATTTTTGTAGTAGTGAAATTATAAAATTTTTAAAAAGCAAAGGCAAGTTATAAAAATTTAAAAATTATTGAAAGGGTAAAATTGTAAATTTTAAAAAATACAGATAAATTATAACTTGTCCCCGGCCCCCAACTCCACCCCCTCCCCTCGCCTCCGATGCCAGATGGCACCTAGGATTGAGAATGGAAGATAAAGGCTGTAAACCAACTATAACCAATCAAAAAAATTAAGTTAATTTATAAATAATAAAAGATAGATGACGTGAAAGAAGAAAGAACGAAAAGATAAATAATGCGATGCAAATTTATTAATTTTAAATTTTTATTAATAATAATTAATTTTATTCCTTGTTTGGACATAAAGATAACATGATATCAATTATATCATTACTATTAAACCTGTTAAAATGGAGACCCATTGGGTGATTTATTTTTTATTAAATATGGTGGGTTGGGTTGAAAATTTTTACTCATATTTGAACCGGCCTAAATGGCCAGCACCAAATCAGTGGGCTGATGTGGGCTGGGGCAGATCAGCCCATGGGTCAAAAAATAATTTTAATTAATTTAATAATTTTATATATTTAATTATGAAAAATCAATAATTTAGTTACTAATAGTATTATTATTTTATATATTTCAATGTCTTTAATCTTCACTTGTCAAATTAAAAATTTAATTTAAATTAAAACTTATTATCTCTTTTCTTTTATGGTAATGAATATTAGATGATAAATTAATAATAATTCAGACCTTAAGACATCATTACTGTCTAAACAAGATTTAAATGTTTTACTTAAGAATGAAGATTGAGGAGGATATAAATGAGTCTTGAAATTTTTATTATTTGGTTATATACTTATGTTTATTAGATAGTAGTTTGTGTTAAAGATTTAAACTTTATTATGTAATTTATTATTTTTTTTTATATTTGGTGTAATTTATTTATTTGTAACATGTTTTATTATTCAATTTATGAATTAAATCATAGAATAATTTTATTAATAAAAAATATATCAAGTAAAATATAAAAATATTTTTAAAAAAAATAAAATGCGCTAGTTCAACCCAATCCATGAGCTAAAAAGGATGAGCTGGTTGAGGTTTTAATAATCCATATAAAAAATGAATTGCTCCGCCCAATTTATATTTTTTAACCCACAAGAGCTGAGGCGAGCTGGGCGCCAGCCTATATTGACACTCTAATTACTATCAACGTGAAATAAAAATTTATAGATGGTGCGCGAAAGGGGTAGAAGACTTTTTATTCGTAAGAGTAGGTCGGCAACAAGTACAAAAGATTTAAAATACTGGAAACAAACTAGTACTTAGCCAGCTCCATTAGCTTCTTCCATGCAGACCGGTTAGAGATGTCCTCCCACCACGCATTCACATGCTTCCTTTCCGCCACCAAATGCCCCATTCCAGCATCGTTTACCAAGTATCTAATGGCTGGTAGGTGGCTAAGATCAGCCAAGGTGAATGAATCTCCGGCGAGATAGCTGCTCTTCGACAAGTGTTGCTCGTAGATGTCGAAGACTTTCTCCAGCTGTTGCTCACATTTGTGCGCCAAGGCCAAGTCACCATGCTTTCCCATTCGCGGCAGGATGACAATTTGAAACACGAGAGTCTTCACCAAGTCATTGAAGTTGTGTGCTTCGACTTCAAGCCACTGGTCGACGACTGCTCTTTCTTCCAAGGAGTTTCCCAGCAGGTTTGGACCACGGTCTGCGTACTTGGCAGCATAGTATCTTATGATTGCCCTAGATTCTGCACAGGAGAAAAATGTCTAAACGAATAAAGAGAAACGACAAATCCAAAACGGGATCTCCTAAACCATTCCTGTCGGATTTCAAACATTAAATAACCCAAATTGATTTGGCTTGAAAAAGACAACACATTGACAAAACTTTTTGAAGCAGAGGGAATTGTTTGTGATTAATTAAAACCTAACTATTTACAAAGTTTGAAGAAGAGTGGGAATAATTGTTGGTGATTAATTAAAACTTATTAGACAACTAGTTCTAGTTTAGGTTGTTTTGAGGGATCTTATAATATTCGACTCTAGCGGGCTGTTTGTGTAGGAAGAAAGATCTAGAGATATTAGATATATTGGAAGAAAATATGAAAAATACAAAAAATTCTGTAATCTCATATTAATTTTTATATTTTCTTAAATATAATTTAATATAACATGTGTCAACTCTCTAATTTCGTTTGTAGATTTTAAAAATTCACCAACGTTATATAGGCAATAATCCATAAAATATACCCTAACGTCTTAGAAGGGTTTGAAACGCCTTTCAAGCAAGGTCAATCTACTATGAAGTTAGTTCTTGGGAAAAACTAGTAGTACAAGGAAGAGAATTGAATACAATATATTGAATGATATGGAAATGTAATTACACTTGTTTTTAATTTGGAGGAAAATGCCTTTACATATGTTTATTATTAAGTCAAATCTTTAAATTCTCCACATGTTTAATAGTATTATTAAAGGATTAATAATAAGATTGCATTTGGTGTAACAATGTACCTCACTTGATCGCAAAAGGAGTGAGGGAGATTGTTGAAGAAGCTGAGGCGTGGAGAAAAATAGAGGATATGTTCAGCTATATTCAACATGCTATGCTTAGAGACATGAGGAACTCAAATTGAAAGCTTCAAGATGTAGAGAGGCTAACGTATTTTTTTGATAATTATATGATTATAGTGTACTTCTTTTCCCTTTTCATAGTTTTTATCTCATTGAATTTTTTTTATAATAAGGTTTTTAACGAGGTTTCTAATTACGCATAGCGAGAGGGTTTAAGATAAATTAAAATGTTTTATTAGAAGCTCTTATTATACTCCGTTTGTATGATATCTTGATGAATCAATAAATTACATCATGTTTTTAAATATATATATATATTAGAGTTGTATAACGCGGTTCTTATTTATTAAGCTAGATAACATCATCAGCTAAACCATCTTTTGCTGAGCCTATACTAGTCTCAAACTAGCCAAATTCATCAAACTCAAGTGAAAATTCAAATGATTTGTTAGTATTCAAATAGATTCCTACAATCTTACCAAAAAGCTTCAAGTCGCCATCCTCTATAGCTGGTATTTGCCCGAACGGCTGCATGCAGAACCAATGTGAAATTTTTGAGTGAGTGAAGATATGCTAACGTGTCAGGATACAAAAATTTACAACATTGACACATCATAAGTTTTAAGGTCACAAAGTAAAAATAAAATAAAAATTAATATAGAAAATAAGAAATAAAAATTATTGGTGTTAAAAATAGTACAATAGAAATAGTTTTGGTATAACACAAAAGAATATTTAGTGCTTGTTTGACCTGATTTTTTTTCAATTTATCTACTTTTTAAAAGCAAAAGTTAGATCAAATAAAAATTTAAAAAAATCCTTAAAAAAGTAAACAGTTTTTTTTTTAAAGTAGATGAATTTAGGCACCTGTCGGAGGAGGAATTCTGGTCTCTTATGCTCTCCCGTGTCAAGATCGACGTGGAAAATCTCGAATTCAACATCCTTCTCGAGAAGGCAGGCCAAAACCCTCTGAGGGCAAGCTGCCCTCACTGAACCATGAACTTTGACTACCATTTTTTCTAATAATATTAATAAGGGAGATAAACGATTTATGCCTTTGTTGGGGCTCTTGTTGCTTAATATATAGAATTCCCAGTCTGGGCTTCTCGGGGGTTGACACATGACTTCCCCTCGTTTCAAAATTTTCATTGGGCTTTTGATTTTAGTCTTCATTCATTCAAAGATGGGGGCCATTGCGAGTACGGGGGTTGTCACATGCCTTGATCCTGCGGTGGGTGAAACCCAACCAAATCGAAGTGTCCTTCTTACTTTCCGCACACTAAATGCATACATGCTTGAAATCTCCTTCGCACTTTCCACATGATAAAGGTGACCTTTTTGGAGTCTCTTTCTCAAACCATGTTAATTGGAAATATTTTATTTTTAAAGTAATTTTTTTAATGTCATGAACACTAGAGCAGACCAAGTTGAGCCGAGTTTGCAAAATCCGTCTGAACCATCTGACCTAGCTTAATTGTTTTCCTATAAAAGCCAACCACTCGTATTCATCCAAATCTAAAATAAATAGAACCGAAATTTTGAACTTATATTTAACATGATTTTATTTTTTTTTAATATTAATTTGATTAAAATTAATAGATATTAGAATTGGCCCGTGCATTGTGCTTGCGCGAAATAAGAAACCTTGAAGGGAGTGTTGATGAGAAAAAATATATACAAAAAAGTTGTTATAGTTTTTAATACAAAGTGGAAGAGTATATCATAATTGTTTATAATTGTATACATTCATTTCTACATATTTAAGAAAAACTGAATGTCCATTAACAAAATTAAGATCAGGAACCAAGCTAAAGGTAGTTTACTCCAATCTTTTCATAAATCATGCGAGTTGCTCATGTAATCAAGATTCTCCAGTAAAAACCAATCATAGCATTTAGTGATCATAATTCAACCCATATAACTCAAATAATCACTTTTCAATTCATTTAACTTAATGATCAATATTCCATCCATAAAACTTAAGTGGCCATTCTTTCTTTATAATCCATAACTCTACCAATGCAATGAGACTTATTCTATCTATTAACCCATCTTGGTTGTCACATAGCTTAGAGTTTAATCTATAACTCAATCAAACATCACAACGCAAGAAACATTTACAAGAGGCATCACAAAAGCAAAAGTAATATGCAATAATCATGAATGTAGGATGCATTTTGGGTCTTGGCCCATGTCAGGGCATCTCACATCTGGGCTCATGAGTGGCACATTGACCTCACTCACGTGGAGCACCACCATGATGTAGTGGAATTTTGCCCCACCATGTGTGGGGATCGTTCCGCTCATATCACTATACGTTGGCATTACATGTGGAATGTTACCTCACATCGTGTGAAATACTATCATCATTAAACTAAGCGTAATTTGTCACATGTGGAATGTTATCTCGCACTATGTGAAGCATTATCATCATCATACAAAATGTAATTCACCATGTGTGGAATGTTACCTCACACTGTGTGAAAGCTCTAGGAAACAATCACATATAAAGTATTATCTCACATCTCAATATATCATTAATACATAATCAAAGTAGATTCATGTTACACCTTTAAATCTCTTATAAGGTATGTGGAAACTACATCATGTGTTTGAAAAAACTACATCACATATTATCCCAAGGAAACATGGTTCTTATGTTCTAATATTCCTCATTTAAAAAGTATCATAATCTTAAGGGTGGGAACCTTTACCTCCACCTAAGCATTCATCTCTATTTTTCCATAACAAAAATTTGGGTACTAATTGCCGGGAATAGTATTTCTATGAAAATTCTCAATTATCATACTCATCAACAAGTGTAAAGGTGGGAACTTATATCCACATAACATCCATAAGTCCATACACATTTCTTATTTTCTATTCATAACAGAATTGAAGTTTTTGAAGTAAAACGTTTGGAAGGGCTTGTCCCCCTTTTTTGAAAACTAATATATAGTAGTGATATTTATATACATTTACTTATTCGAAAACTTCTTTGAAAACATTTGGATAGAAATCATTTGATTCAATATTATAAACATGGTATTCAAATCATACAAGTCAAATAACTCAAAAAACAATGCTTAGTTTTACCATATTAAAATACTTAAAAGGGTGTACCCACTAACCTTTGAAATGTTGACCTCTACCAATAAGCAAGACTTTACTCTAGTGAATTCCTTGGAGTTTGGTCAACACCTAAAGTGTTAAACAATTATTACAATTATTGCTCAAACTATAAATCACATAATAACCTTTCTAAACCTTTTTGAAACTAACCATGTTCACCTAAACTAATTTGTCTAACTCAAACCCACTGCTACCTAATCAAATAAATGCTTAAAAACCGATAAATCCTTCACCTTTACCTTAGGTGAGGTTTGATGATAAGAAAATTCACAAAATCTTTGAGCTTTAGTGTTCAACCAAAAATCTAGGCACAAAAATAATATATTTAGTGGCTGAAATTTCATAAATCAAGATTAAAAAGTTGAAAGATGTCACCTTTATTTGAAAAATCCAAAATCAAGCTTTCAATCTTTTAAAATAATAATTTGGGGTTAAAATAGGTTTAAGAGAGCTTAGACTTACCGAAAAATTGATGAGATGTAGCTTAGAATGAAAAACCTTAAGAGTATGGGTCATATTTATACTTTAGGATTTGAAAATACCCTTTTATCCCTTTTTTTTTTTACTTTTTTCCTTTTTACTCTCCATTTACTTAAGATATTTAATGTAAATAAGCAAACACTCTACCATTTGGATTCAATAAAAATATAAAAGAATCAAAATCTAAGTTTTGGTTTGGAGGACAAAATCGAACAGGTTCGATTGAATTAAATTTGCAGTTCTCATTTACCATAGAAAACATTCTTTAAAAATTATGAAAAAATCATTTTTGTTATCTAAATATCAAGAGAAACATGATCACCATTTTTTATTTTTAAAAAAATATTTTATAAAAATCATATATTTTGACCCCTTCCAAATTTAAAAAATTTTCGTTTCAATAGTGATAGTCAACTAAGGTGACAATGAATTCTTTTTTAAGGTTAAAACTAAATTGAATGATCAAAACATGAAATCTACATGCTCACCTAAAGGTTTCTTAGTTTCTTCTCCCACATTAAGGTGGGTTTTCACAAAATGAGTCCAATTTGACATGTTTCTAATGTTTGTTTTTGCTTACTAAAGCCTATCCATCGATAAATGTTCTTCATCTATTGATAAATACAAACCCATAAAAGTTTTTAAGGAAAAGGAAAAACACCTATCGATATATGTTCATCATCTATAGATAGACGAGCCTATCTATTGATATATGAGACACATCTATCAATAGATAGCAACCTAAAAGCTTTTTAAAAGAACCCTGAAGCCCATCTATCGATAGATAACCTCAATCTATGGAGGGTTTGTAGACCTCAGCCATTTTTGCAAGCCATTTTCTAAACCCTAAACCCTCACTAAATGATTTTCAACCTAAATCACCATTTTTGGTGATTTTAAGCTTGGTTTTTAGTTTTTTTGAACAAAATGACATATTTCAACTTCGAAGTCTTTAAATCTTAATTTTTTTTAGAATTAAAAATGTTGTCTTTATTCCCAAATTTTTCTGTTGGTTACTAAAGCTCAAGGTTTTGTGATTTTCCTTAACATCAAAGCTCACCTAAGGTAAAGATGAAGGATTTATGGGTTTCTAAACATTATTTAGTTAATTTAACAGTGGATTTAAGCTAGCAAATTAGTTTTATTTGAATCCATTTAGTTTTAAAAGTACTTGGAATGGGAATTAATAGATTATAAGTCTAAGTAATTAATTATGACGATTGTTGAACGTTAGAAACGTTTGAAAACTCCGAGGAAATCACTGGAGAAGAGTTGTGGTTGGAGCTAGAGGCTAAGTCTCTAATTAGGTGAATGGATATACCTCTTCAAGTATTTTAATATGTAAATTTAGCATGATTTTGTTGGAAATGATTGATTATGTATGATGAACTATTGTTTAAAGAATGGTTTTTCAAAGGATTTGAGTTTCATGGTTTTCAACTAGTTTTTGAAAATATGATTCAATGATTTGAAAGGATAATGATTTATTATATGTGTGGCACAAATGATTTTCAAATTGTTTGCGAATCTACTATGTATATAAATATCCTATTAAGTAGTAGTTTTCAACTTAGGGACACTAGTCCTTTCAAGTGTTTTACACTGATAACTCTATTATATAGAGTTATTTTGATACATTTTGGGGCTTAAGTAGCTAGATCTTTGAGATTTTAGGTTTCGGAATTTTAGCGTTTTACGTGTTTTTCTAGTTTAAGTTTGATTACTTGTTAAGTGACTAATTTAAGTTATTTTAGTTAAATTATGTTGTTTTGTTTTAAATTACTTTAAGAGTAGTTATTGCTAATTTCTCTTATGGCTTTTGTAGGAAACTGATGAAAAAGACTCATTTGATGAAAATTAGTGCAAGTATGGCGATGACTTTATTCGTATATGTTTCAGTAGTTTGACCATATCTCTCTCTAAACAACTCCAAATGAGGTGATTCTTAGGCCAATAGAATTATAAGAAGAAGATCTACAATGTTTATTTTTATTAATTCATTCAGTTCTAATTGGATCATGGTCAAAATATTTGCCAAAGTTGGAGCACTGCAACGTATGTAAGGACTAATATGATGCGGTATTTGGAGCATATCTTCAATCTAGGAGTCCAATTGATGTGATCCTTCATCATTGGAAAATTAAGAGAAAGCTAAAACTTTTATATTTACTACTTATCCAGTTCAGACATGTTAGGGTGAAACTCATGTTTGAAGTTGATAGACTGCCACAGCACTGGGAGAACAAGGCTGCAGCGTTGATAAAAGGAAGCAAACATACAAATTTCCAGATAACTCAGAGCTGCAGCATTGGAGAAGTAGCGCCGCAGCACGGGGCAACTTTCCAAAAATAAAAAAACTTGACAGGATTTTGAAAATTAGGTTAGTTAGAGCTATTTAAGAGACATTTTTAAGAGATTTTGGGGAGTAGGCAGGAAGCAACTATTCTGGAGATTGGAA